TGATATACCACGGCTGTCAGCCAATCAGCATTCAGGGCTCAAACCACCCAGTTTATAATACCCCATAATGACAGAGAAAATATGTTTTTTTTTAGAAATGTTTGCAAATGTATTGAAAATGAAATGCAGAAATATATAATTTACGTAATTATTCACACCCCTGAGTCAATACATATTAGAATCGCCTTTTGCCTCCCGAGTTGCGCAGCAGGCTATGGCACTGCATCGCAGTGCTAGAGGCATCACTACAAACCCGGGTTCGATCCCAGGCTGTGTCGCAGCCGGCCATAACCGGGAGACCCATGAGGCGGCGCAAAATTAGCCCAGCGTTGTCCGGGTTAGGGCAGGGTTTGGCCGGCCGGGATGTCCTTGTCCCATCGCGCTCTAGCGGCTCCTTGTGGTGGGCCGGGCGCATGCACGCTGACTCGTGTCGGCAGTTGTACAGTGTTTCCTCTGACACATTGGTGCGGCTGGCTTCCGGGTTAAGCGAGCAGTGTGTCAAGAAGCAGTGCGGCTTGGCAGGGTCGTGTTTTGTTGATCATTGCTAGACAGCCATTTTTAAGTCTTGCCATAGATTTTCAAGCCGATATAAGTCAAAACTTTAACTAGGCCACTCAGGAACATACAATGTAGTCTTGGGAAGCAACTCCAATGTATAATTGGCCTTGTGTTTTAGGTTATTGTCCTGCTGAAAGGTGAATTTGTATCCCAGTGTCTGTTGGAAAGCAGACTGAACCAGGTTTTCCTCCAGGATTTTCTCTGTGCTTAGCTCTATTCCGTTTGTTTTTATCCTAAAATACTCCTTAGTCCTTTCCGATGACAAGCATACCCATAACATGATGCAGCCACCACCATGCTTGAAAATATGAAGAGTGTTACTCAGTGATTTGCCACATTTTTTGCAGTTTTACTTTAGTGCCTTATTACAAACAGGGTGCCTGTTTTGGAATATTTGTATTTTGTACAGGCTTCCTTTTTGTCACGCTGTCATTTAGGTTAGTATTGTGGAACAACTACAATGTTGTTGATCCATCCTCAGTTTTCTCCTTTCACAGCCATTAAACTCTGTAACTGTTTTAAAGTCACCATTGGCCTCATGGTGAAATCTCTGAGCAGTTTCCTACCTCTACGGCAACTGAGTTAGGAAGGACGCCTGTATCTTTGTAGTGACTGGGTGTATTTACACACCATCCAAAGTGTAATTCATAACTTCACCATGCTCAAAGGGATATTCAATGTCTGCTTTTTTTTATTTGGAACCAATAGGTGCCCTTCTTTGTGAGGCATTGGAAAACCTCCCGGGACCTTACAGATAATTGTATGTGTGGGGAACAGAGATGAGTTAGTCATTCAAAAATAATGTTAAACACTATTATTGCACACAGAGTGAGTCCATGCAACTTATTATGTAACTTGTTGATTGGATATATCTGGTTGTTTTTACCCACGGAGTTGCAGGACTGATGGCAGGTTGACTTGTCTGGTTTGGCTAGCTAGCTAGCTAAAGTTTGCATTTAAAAGATACATCTCTCTTCTTGATCAATGAGACCTGACTGCATTCTGAAAATGGCAGAGAGCTCGTAGTGAGGATGACTACTGCTCTGGACTGATGTGTGGTGGGCTTTTTTGCGCTGTAGCAGCAGCAGAGGCATCACCCAAGTGGGTGCTACACGTTAGTTGTGGAGGAGTATGAAGTCCAGGCCACAGAGAGACTGAGCTGAGACGACATCAGGGCCAGCAAGCCAACCCCATCACCTGGCATCACAGGCTACATAGAGGAAGAGGATAACATCAGCGCCGGCAAGCCAACTGCATCACCATCATCAACTGCATCACCTTTATCTGGCATCACCATCATCAAACCATCATCTAACTAAATATAGGAGCCTGAGATCGCTGGTCCTGAGATCACTAATCTACTGTTCCAGGATGATTTTTGTGAAGTCAAGCATTTAAAATGAATGGCCTTCTGGTAAAACTATTAATGATCTTTAACTCTGCACTGTCTAAGCTCAAGTCTCTAATCAACAGTTTAAGACACTCAACTGCAACTCAACACACCCCTCTATTTAATCTATCACTCAATCAATCACCCCCTGTCAATCTCCATTCCCGCTCACTTCCTATCTACCATCTCCCTCTTCTCAGCCTTCACCATCAGTTACTCTCTCTCCATCTCTCTCTCTGTGCCATGGCTGAACCTACTGAACTTGCAGCCTCAGCAGTCTGCCCAATCAGAAGCTGAGCCCCATTTCTGCCATGTCTCTCTGGCTTATTCCACTAAATACTTAATTTCTCAGAATTGCCGCGCCGTTTGTTCTTTTGCCATTCCAGAATTGATACTAGAACGTTGATGTGCTTTAGGTTACCATGTATGACCAGGGATCTGTTATTGTTATTATTATTATTATCTCTGGGCTCATGGATAGTCTCTATGTGTTTTAGTGTCATGGATGGTGTGTGTGTGTGTGTGTGAGGGCGTCAGCATCATGCATGGTGTGTGTAGCCTATGTGTGAGGCGTTTCTGCCCCCCTAGGCTGAGCTTGCTCCCTCTACTCCCCAGCCCAGCAGAGACGTCAGCTAGCAGCAGGACATCCTCCCTGCAGGTGGCAGGAAGCAGTGGAACTGACGGTTATCATTTCATCCCCTCTCACCCTCAGCCTACAAATATACTGCACTGAACATGGGCCGCCATCACACACTCATTCTAACGTAGGAGTCACAACCCAAAATTCAGATCCAACCTAGTTTAATACTGTGGACTGATTGATAGTTAGTTACCTACATTCCTACTTTCCTCCCTTGTTTAGTTTGACCAGGTTTTGTATATCTTATTAGCAGTTTGTCAGTAGCAAGAAGGTATCAGGTCTGTGATGAAAAGGTGGTACTTATGAGTAACAATAAGAATCAGAATGCCCCAAGTTGTAGTCATGAAAACTGTGGGTTTTAATGTAAACACTACATTCGATTGGTATTCCAGCACGAACATCCCACATGAAAGAACAACCATTCACTAAAGAGGGAGAAAAAAGCAGCACAGAAAAGAATTCACTGGGATAAAAAGAATGGATAATAAAAAAGGAGGGGATCAAGGAAAAAAGAATGCCAAACTGATATGTGTAATAATACACAGTATTCTTTAAAAAAGGCAGATAGGTAGGAGAGATCTTTCCAAATCTTTGTGTGAAGTGAGAGCTGTGCTTTTCTATGAAGACCTGGAAAGTGTTTGAGTACAATTCCCCAAAACTAAAAGAAAACGCTTGAATCTGTACAGCCGTGTGGACACCCCTCCCTTACCAGCAACGGTGCGGGACGTGCGCCAAAGTGGTTCTTCCAAAATAGTCAGGCTAAGTAAAGACACTGTAATGCATGGAGAACAGGCAAAAATAATCAGTACAGTGCATAAACATCAACATGGGTTAGTCAGTAAGAACGGCTCAAGAATGGATCACGGGAACCCTTGCAAAACGTTTTTTTTTTTTTTTTTAAGGGGGAGAGAGAAAGAAATGTTCTGTAGCTACAAAGCACAAAAAATGTACTTTAATAATAATATAGAATCATCATCATCATCATTGATATTGTAATTATTATCATCGTCATTTCATCATTGTTTTTATTGTCATAATCATCCTTTTTTCTTTTTTTTCTTGAATAGTTCTACATTGTAAAGATTCTAGAACCCAAGGATTTACAGCTTTCTACCAAGACACACAGCCCAATGACCGTTGACCTCAAATCTCCATATCACTGGTCAGGAATGGCTGTTGGTTCCCCTCCCTAACTCCTCCCTCCCTCCCTCCCTGTACCCTTCCCAGTCCATAAGATGGTTGTCTCTTTATGTCGTTGTTGTCTATAGATTTTTTCCTTCTTCAGTTTTTCCATTTTCTTTTACCTTTATTGTGGATTTTGAAAAAAGAAATCTCTACATTTTCTATGTGAAGCATTTAACGGTCTCTTTATACAAAGGCTGAAGGATGGGTCATGCGATCTGTGTCAGGAGGAGTGATGGGGGACACCACCACCAAGCCTGTGGACAACCCAAAACAAGAAAACCAGGTGGGCGCTAGGAAAATAAGAAGGATGATAAAGTGGAGAAATAAAGTACAAGGTGTGTGGCGAGTACAAGGTGTGTGGCGAGTACAAGGTGTGTGGCGAGTACAAGGTGTGTGGTGAGTGTGGGACACACGATAAATAAATACATGAATCAATGATAATAAAAAAGTAGAAGTTCCTTACATGATAATGTTAATAGATATTCATTACAGTAACAAAGTGTTCCTTGGACCATCTCCAAACCTGTCATTTTCAGGGGGTTGTCAGCTTTCAGATATCTGATTGGTTTAGAGGCTTGGGGTCACGTGCTGTGACTCACTGCTCCAAAATCCACACAGCCAAAGGCAATGGCCCACCGGAGTGACAGGAAGGGATTGGATAAAAAAAGAACAAGCTCATAGGGCATCAATCCTGGGTGTTTCTGTTTATCTCAACGATCAAATAGCTGAACAGAACTTCTATGATACCATGAAAACCCAGTCTGGTACAAAATAAAGGAAAGAGGACCGGGACACACTAACACATCAGCTTGTTTCAACTGATCTTGACTGTGGTACTCATGACTATCATACCTGTCAAAGCCATTGTTAGAGCTAGAATCGTTTTTTTGCGTAATTACATAATTACTACAGTAACATACTTAGGCAAACGTGTACAGGTCAGCAAATTGACTGATATTCATGTAATAAATATACATATGATAAACAAAAACATTAAAAAAATTACAAAAAGAAAGACATTATGTAAAACAAGTGAGGGTTGTTTTGTTAAAAACAAAAAGACAGTCAGGAAGGGGAGAAAACAAACATTAAACAAGTTCTCAACTTTGTTCTAAAACTTTAAAGGCTGGGTTTCTATAAGAAATCAGTTCTGTTGGCAGCTCTTTGAAGTCAAACTAAAAACATATACATATATATATATATATATATTGATATATATATATATATATTGATATATATTGATATATACGTATGCCTATTTTAAAACAATCATTATTATTATTTACCAAGTTGCATTTTCAATTAGAATCATTTCCAGAGGAGAGGCAAGGGGGCGGTCAGGGCTCAGTACAAGCCACAGCCTCGCAGGTTGTTGGCGATGATGATGTCAGTGACGGCGTCAAACACCACCTGGATGTTCCCTGTATCTGTGGCACACGTCAGGTGACAGTAGATCTCCTTATTGGGCGAGCGGTTCTTGCTCTCAAATTGTGCTTGGATGTAGGCAGCTGCATCATCATAGGTGTTAGGACCTGTACAGGGAGGCAGGATGGAGAGAAAGGTGACAGGGAAAGAGTAAAAACTAAAAGAGCTGAAGAGAGCTTTTAGGGCTTGAATTCATTCCATTGAATCCCTTTTATATTCTCCTACATCAATTATTCACTCTATTACAATCACATTCTGGTGTGGTAACCCATGTGACTTCAGTTAACATGAGGATACAGTCACAATGGCTTGGCTGTGTGTGTCAGATGTGGAAGGCAAAATAATGTTCACTGCAATGTGTCCCTGTGGGCAGCTCTCTAAAGCAGGGAAAGGAAATGGTATGGTGTCTGTCTGTCTGTGCCTAAGCATACAGAGATGGAGACAGCTCTCACTGGCCATCCCTTCACCATGACTGCTCAAGCATGGCTGTGATTTTATTCTCTCTCAGGCTATGGGTGTCCATCTCACCTTGTCAGAGAGGGGAGGGTGGAGAGATACTAAATACAGTATTTGTATTCCCCTCAATTGTATGTACCACAATGTCAACTCACTTCAACATCACATGGTCAATACCTAAGTGGATTTTGCAGACTAAAGAGCAGGATTTCAGCTAGCAAATATGTTTTGGCCAATTCTGACATTTACAAAGGTACATCTTACCTGTATACTCAGGGAAACAGATACTCAAGGCAGATTTCTTGATCTTTTCGGCAAACAGATCTTTCTTGTTGAGGAAGAGAATGATGGAAGTGTCAATGAAGAATTTGTTGTTACAGATGGAATCGAACAGCATAAGAGACTCGTGCATGCGATTCTGCAGTGGAGAGAAAGGAGGACAGAAGCAGAGGGAGGAGGAAGAGACAGCGAGGATGAGGATGAGGAAGAGAGGGAGGGAAGGAGGGAGAGAAACAGAGAATGTGGAAAGGTTAGCCTCAGAGCAATAAAAACCAAGCAGGAATAGTTGAACCAAGCTTCATGACTTGAGGACAGTATGTTGACAGTAGAAAGAGTGAGCATCCCAAAGCACCCGGACAGGACAGAGACTGCTAAGTAAGAGAATAAATGGTCTATCATGTGACTGAGTTTAACCAATCAGAATAATTGAGCTCTGCGATAAAGAACATGGAATAGTTAGAATCAGATTGAGGCATAATGAGAGGCAGCTGGCAGCTGCTGCTTTGGTCAGCGGATGTGTGTCTGACAATGACCCTGCTAACAGACAGGGGGCAGGGGAGAGAGAGAGACCAGACGACTTCTCCATTCACTGATGTTCTCATCAAGATTCATAGAGAGATAGAGAAAGAGGATGGAGAGAAATAGTTCAATATTTTGTGTCTGTAAGAGTGCATGGCGCGGTACTGAGTGAGGCATTGTGTGTTAGTGTAAAGTATGTGTTACTGCGTGAGTGTGCTGTGCAAAGGGCAGTGGTTTGTTTCTAATAGTCCCCTGTGCTCTGTACTGCAGGTAGTGACACACTCATAAGTAGTTCAGTAGCATTCCCATTGGACAAGAGAAAACAGAGAGCGAGAGAGAGAGCGAAATATAGTTTTTTAAATTAGTTTTTAGTTTATTTCACTTTTGTTTATTATCTATTTCACTTGCTTTGGCAATGTAAACATATGTTTCCCATGCCAATAATGCCCTTTGAATTTAATTTAATTGAGAGAGAGAGAGCGAGAGAGAGCGAGAGAGAGAGAGCGAGACAGAGAAAGACAGGAAGAGCAAAACACTCACTGCACAGTACATACACAAACTTGATCAGAGAGAGAGCGAGAGGGAGGGTCAGACTCATAGTTTCATGTGGAGATTTTTTATTTCCTTCATATAAACACACCCTTCAATAAATAATCACAACAACGAAAGAGGCGAATGAGCAAACAATAATTACAGCAGTGACACAAACAACACCTACTAGAAAACAGGTACTTCAATCATACCATGATGTACTGTACTGTCAGCATCCTAGTGCTGCTTGTGGGTGGTGTAAATTGAATTTCTTCATGGGGGTTGTGGTAAGCTCCAGAGAATAGTCTCCAATGTATTCCTCCCATGCTGATGCAGAGGCAGTATTTGTGTAACAAAAGGTGAAATGCAGTCAGGGAAAGTCGAAGGAGGATTTAAGAATTCTGCTTTTCAAAGTTATATTGTGCCGACTGTTTAATTATTTATGCTGCAGTCTAAATACTGGTATGTTTTGCCTGCTGTGATAGGGAGCTCCTGTGTGTGTGTGTGTGTGTGTGTGTGGGAGGACTGGGACTCACAAACTTGGGACTGGGAGAGGCTGACACCCAATCAACCGTACTACAGCTACAGTACATGAACCATCTCAGCCTTCATCAAGGCTAATCTCTATTACATCAGGGGACCCCACTACTGTACATGATATTCACTGCTGTTTCTCTCTATATCTTGGTACCAACTAGACTTGAGATCCAGTTTACTCAGGGCCACATATTGTACCTCCTATCTGTTTCTCTCCAGCAGACAGACACAATTACCAATCTTTCTCTTTACCTTGGCCCTAAGACTCCATTATCCATCAGTCTCACTGCCGTGGACATAGGCTTTATTTGTCATCAGTCAGGTTTAAGGCAAGGCTATAAGATGAGCAGAGAGACTGTCTGGGCGGGTGATCTGGGACTTACACATGCCCTCCTAGACGTCTGATGGCTTCTGTCTTAGTTTACCCTCTGGTAAAGAAGATATTATAACTCCAGCTGTGAATCTGAGAGCTTGCTGATACCGCAGCACGAACATGCTTCTTGTCAATGAGTACTGTTACATGCACACAATAATACGATTATTGTGGATAGTCAGATTAATATAATAGTTTGATTATAACGTTTACATACTTTGCAAGAAGAACGATTTCCCTAATAATCCTGTTTACATGGATACCTGATGGCACTCTGATTAATGCAGAAAATCGGCAATCAAAATAAACGTTCTACCACAGCGACCATGTAATTTTTGGGAAGCATATTTGATTCCAATTTCAGGCATAAAAAGTTTGTATATGAAAACCACTTCTAAGACGCATACATTCAGTTGTTCCGAACTCACTTCACTCGCGCTAAAGAGGGAGGCTCGCTCGGTTGGTGCTAGAACATGCACAGATCAAATACACAGCTGGAACGCTGATTAAGGTGTTTACATGTCCTAATCATTTGAGCGATTGCTCAGAAAACCAGGTGTTTTAATCGGCGTATGTTTACTTTGATTTTGACCTGACGCCGATTAAGATAAGCAGAGTAAGGTGTTTACATGACTATTGCATAATCTGTCTACTGCCATAATCAGTTTAATATCAAATTATTACTCTGCATGTAAACATACTCAATGACTGTATATATGAATGGACAAAGCCATCGATCATGTGACACCATTAATTAAGATGGCGTCTCATGGAGACAAAACATGCGCAGTTTGAGCTACTCCAGGAAGTGACGTTGCAGGCTAGCTCAGTGCTGCCCCCTCTCATTGAGTAACTCAAGTTGAAGGTTGACCGGGGTACTGCAGGATGCCATTAGCAACTAAATTATACTTATAACTTCTTGTGTGTGCGATTTTAAAATAATCGGTTCAAGGACATACATCTGGTGTATTAGAAGCAATTATTGGTACCATGATTGTCTTAAAAAATAGATGTTTCTTTACACGAAGATTCACCACGAAGATTGCAATTTTTCCATTCACTATAATGGGGGATCCTGTTTTCTGCTAACAATACTTGAACTACCACGGTCAGCCTTGAACTTCTGTGGCTTCAATGAGAGGGTGCAGTCATTCTCCCCTGCCTCTTATTGTTCATAAAATGTAAAATGTAGCACATGAAACTTGTCTGCTCATGAGAATTTAAGAGTTCATGTCCTGTTGTGGAGAACTAACTGGCCTGAGGGCTGACACAGCCTTTGCCTCCTGAGTCCTGTGCACCTACCGAAGCAACACACAGTATCTTACTGCAATGACATTTTAGTGTAGTCAACAAATCTTTTACAGAGCCCCTAGAATCACTGCAGTGACTTGGGCTATCAGAGTCACCTGACACACGAGGCTGTACCTACTAGCGAAGGCAGGCGTGGTGCTGAGAACGATCATCATGGTAACATCTGCCCTACCCCCACTCACCCGGCACCTACATGGGTGTGTGAGGCAGACAAATTAGTGCTTTCTAAGAGATGGAGCTTCCTACAGCCATGACAAGAAAAGAGTACAGGTTTTTGTACAGCTAAACGAGGAGGGCAGTATCAGTCCACCCCCAGATTCAGGAGCGGCATATTATTTGGCAAGAAACCAAGAGGTTTTGACCCTTCTTAGAGTGGTTTGGCATTATTTGGCAGAAGAACAGGGAGGGTGTTGTGACATTTGGTGTCCTCCCTGAGGGTCTGTGTAATGAGGGATGGAACAGCTGTTTCCTGGATTATTAATCCACAGATACCTAATCTTACACACACTCTCTCTTACAGTATACCACAAACAGATACTACCTTATCTGCTCTAACACACACATTATAAACTACCTGCTCCTTAGCCTATTGACTCTCCCATTAAGAATATAGCATTGGCACCAGTAAGATAAAATAGTTACTGACTTGGCCAGGCCAATCACCATCAATATACGGTAAATAACTCCAAGTGCTTGGTTGAGACTGCTGAGGCACCTAAACTGCAACAGGAAATTCTGGACTAAATATAACAGTTGAATATTTCTACATCTCTAACTATCAGCTCTAACTCAACTCCAGGCAGTGACTATGTTGATTGTCACTCCTACCAATTTGCATAATAAATGGGCTCAGTTTCTTACCCAAATATACTGTTTAGTAACAATGTTACCTTCAGTAAGGCCACTGCAGTGTACATGACATCTTTGGCTGTACTTTCAAATCTTACACATTTCAAACCCAACCATTGAATCTCACAAAACTTGTAGCGACAACAAAAAAAAGCCTTCCAAGACTAATATCTCAGAACCTACATGACATATAAGCAGAACAGCAAATCATTTTTCAACCCAAGAAATCCACAAATTCACATTATTTATACAGTACCATCTTCCACTAGCCGCAAACAAATTAACTCCAATTCCAACTTCAAAGTGTTTCACAAAACCATCCAGGCACAAATTCCTTTCATATCAGATGATACTACTCAATAAGCAAAATGACAAATTACAATAGATACTTTGTTGGTAAAGATGAGCAGTTTTCCTTGTAAACTGTAGATGATTGTTCATCTCTGGTGGTGACCCAATGCCAGTTACACAAAAGTAATAACTGCCTTAGTGTTTTAGTAAAACAGCATATTTTCCTAAATAACCTACCACTAACATGACTTTGCTACAAATGTATCAAATGCATCTTGCTTCGGAAATGTGATTCACCATGGATGTCTAGATTGTATTGAATAGTTTTGCAGGTGAGTGATTGTCAAAATGTATATTCTTTATCACACTAAACTAATTGTTCCAGTCAAGGGTCATCTCCCTTTCCTGTATTCACTTCTACTTATGATGTTCAATGCCTGAGGCATAAAATACAGCTGGCTCTCTTTATACAACTAAATTAAAATGTCTTATTATTTAACAAATCTAAAAGGTGAATTAAGTTGATATGTGGGTGAGGGAAAAGTGCAGAAGAAGGGTCAATCCAGGGACACACTGGGTCTATCCTTTGGGTTAATACAGGCCACAACCACGCAGGTTGTTGGCGATGATGACGTCGGTGACAGCATCAAACACAAACTGGATGTTGTTGGTGTCGGTGGCACAGGTGACGTGGGCATACACTTCCTTGTGGAGGGACTTGTTCTTGCTCTCGTACTGAGACTGGATGTGGGCCACTGCCTCCATGAAGGTGTCAACGCCTGCAAAAAGGTTTGAAAGAGCAGGAGAAAGAGGAAATTGAGAAAATATATTTATAAGACCAGAGAGAGGCAGGATGTGGAAAGAAAGTGGGGTGAATAAAAGAAAGGATAAATAGAAAGAGGAAAATACAAGTGGAAGAAAAGCAGACAAAACAAAAGAAGGATATGAGGACAAGAAAAACCGAAGAATGGATCAAAAATATATATCGTTTTTTCAAATATTTTACACCTAATGTAAAACCTGATGTCTTTCTAAGCGGCTGGATTATCCTATAACTGCGGAGGGAGGCCTTGGTTTACACAGAGTGTACAGCAGGCTACCCAGACTCCTTGGCTGCTCTGCTCTATAAGCCCTAAGATGATAACATGGAGTCATGCCAGGTAAGGGATGAGTAACTGTTCTGATTCCAAATGCTAGTCATCTCTCTTCAAGCCTTTCTACACATTATCCCTCCCTCCCACACTATCCCTTCTTCTATTTGTCCCTCCTGCTGCTACTCCATCCCTCTCTTTTCTCCTAGCTCAGCAGCCTCCACTCTTCATCAATTACCTGTGTACTCTGGGAAGCAGATACTAAGGGGAGATTTCTTAATTTTCTGCTCGAATATGTCCTTCTTGTTGAGAAATAGAATGATGGAGGTGTCTGTGAACCATTTGTTGTTACAGATGCTGTCGAACAGCTTCATAGACTCATGCATGCGGTTCTGTGGGTAGAGAAAACAACATGTCAGTCAGTCTGCTGTGTGGCTCTATTTCGAACTATGTCACACACACACACACACACACACACACACACACACACACACACACACACACACACACACACACACACACACACACACAGATAAAATAAGAGAAGAAACAAGTGAAGAAAGGAAACTAAAAAGCAGAACAGAAACTAAACTGTAGATGCCCTTTCCAGGAGTTCTTGTGTTAACTGTCTGTGAGCCACTTCCCCTAAGAGCCCAGAACATTCTAAAATGCAGTGTCTACACTATTTCATTATCAATATCCTGTTTGCCACAGTGTCATGGTAATATGTTAAGTATGACAAGTACGCAGCATCCTGGGAGGTTAGCCAAGTTCATGCATAATGTTATTAGGTAGGTCGTTCCAAGAATATAGTGCCTTTTGTCATTCCTTTGATATTTTAAGTAGAAATTGTGCACCAATATTGAATTTTAAAAGCCTATTATATTAAATTAAGTGCCCTTTAATATAGACCACATGGGGAATTCAATACATCTTTTTTTTTATGAATAAATGCTTGCTAAAGTGCCAAAATTCAACATTTTGACATGTCCCTCCGTCAACCCTGTGTCACTTCTAAGATTTTAACCCACTTAATCCTAAAATAAGTTTCACCATCATTGTAAAGCCCAATTTATTTTGTTGCTTTGACAAAGTCATTTCTAAAGATCATTATTTATTTAATGTGATTAGTGATTATTTTACGTCTGTCCCTCATTTTAAGGCCAACTCTGTTACGTGAACTGAACTCTCGTTTTAATATGGTGAAACTATTCCTTTTTAAATATATTATTTTAAAGAAACATTGAACATCTAATAGTAAAATCATAGAGTAAAAGCAGGTGAGCTGGTTCTACTCTTTTTGGACATTTACTGGTGTTTTGTGGTGGAAAACTGTGCGGGTCAAGCATAACACGTCAACCCTGTTACCCATAGATAGACAGGAAATGTTTTACAATTATATTTTTTTTTTGTGAAGCTTGCATTCAAGTTTGTGTTCTTTATGACAAAATATTTACTGTAAATTAGGTGAAATCAAAAGATTGTTTTGACAAAGTTACACTTCTCAAAAGGTACCGAATTGGTGGAACGACCCAGGTAGCCTAAGTCTAGGACAAACCCTGTATGCTTCTCTCTAGAACAGAGATGGGAGGGCATGCAAATACATTTATAGGTATTTTAAGTTATTTCACCATGGTGTTTGCCTGTTTAAATGTTAACTCAGAGTTGAAAGCAGACACTCTCTGATGTGAGTGAATTGTTGCCTTGTTCTCAATCACAGTGGAAAAGACAGAGCACAGTCATGACAGCTCCTTCACAGCCAATCACAATCCACTTAGAGCAGCAGAGAGGGCTCGCACAGCCAATCAGATCAAATAGAGGAAAGCCCTGAGAGAGACAGATTAAATAGAGCAGAGGCCCTTACAGAGCCAATTACAGAACAATCCAAAAGAGTACATAAGATGAGTCACAGAGACTGGTGTTCTTGTAGTGTTAGTACATCTCAGAAAATGTAAGAGAAAGAAAGAGAAGAGATAAGAAAACTAATAACATAATGAAACATGCATCTCATTAGGTGAATCAGCATCTGATGAGTAAGACTTTGAGAACAAGGCAACACATACATAAAACAGTGTCATATCACATACATTTTTGCAGACACTCTTATCCAGAGCAACCTACAGGAGCAATTAGGGTTAAGTGCCTTGCTCAAGGGCACATCGACAGATGTGTCACCTAGTCAGCTCAGGAATTCTAACGAGCTACCTTTCCGTTATTGGCCCAACGCTCTTAACCGCCAGGCTGCCTGCCGCCCATATACATACAGTCATATCCTCACAGTGAAAATCCCAGGTAAACTCACAGACATAATAAACACACACACATAATCACATCACAACCAAAAGGTGTGCTGCTTTCAACTCTTTCCAGATGATTTTGGATTCTTTGTCCTTGTGAAAGATTTCATACCTGTGCATATGTTTGGTGGGAGGGCCCTCTGTGGAACCAGGTGGGTTTTTAGCGTTTGCCGATTGGTTAGAGAGGACAGCCGATGGCGAGAGATGACAGGAGAGGAGCTGAGACGAGAAGACGTTGAAGGAGAGACGAGAGCTGCTGGGGGGTTGGGGAGGCTCAGTGGAGCAGAGAAGGACATGCACGAGAGCACAACTCAACTCAACTCATCTCCCCCCTCTCAAACACACACGCATGCACGCACAAGCAAAAACGCACGCACAGTCGTGTCCACGCACGCATGCATGTATGCATGCACACGCGCGCTCCCACACACACCACACACACATACATAGAGACACACACACACACTCCCCCCAACGGTGAAAGGAAAAAACTGTAGAGCAGGCAGGAAGAACCCAAACCAAACCTCGCAGTCAAATTATTGAACAGAATTGCTGTAGAAAATCTGCACTGCTGTGCACATCTTTGAGGGTGTGCCAGTACTTGCATGAAGAGGAAAAACAGATGGCGAGAAAGCGAGAGATAAATGCACATTTTTGTTTGTTGAAGTAGTGTGTGTGTGTGTGTGTGTGTGTGTGTGGATGTGTGTGCGGGCATGTGCATATGAGTCCAGGAGTAAACAAATATGACTTTGATTTAGGAGTCAGTCAACCTGTCAGAGGCATAGTTCATATTTCAACAGAGCCAGTAGAGCCTTCCTTTTTCGGTTTATCATGTCTGTAAATCTACTCTGATACATTTAGTTGTGTTTTCAAATAGGATTATCCTGACCTCGCTATATAAATTTTTCAAAAATAAACCCATAAACGCACATTTTCTCCTTTCCTCCGCTCCTGACTGCATGTGCTGCCATAAAAATATGATGAATAGAACAGGCATCCCCATTCAAGTCAATCATGGCATAATGGGTGGACTGGCGGCCATTGCCAGTGCACCGATAGGAGAAAAGCAGGAAGTAAAATATGAGCTGAAATATGTGCTGCGATTTCTTGATTCGACTCAACTGACATTACAAAAATACATTCAATTGCATGAGCCACATCAGTTAACATTTGAATGAACATTCTATATGACCATTATTGCATCGTAATACCAGGCAGCCATTGCGAGTGTACCCATGAGTTTACCTGTCAAATCAATAATGTCTATCTGCAGACAGTGGTTACTACATGCTGCGCCCACTACATGTCACTACATGCCACGCCCACTGCTAGCGCTGTCTCTGGCCCACACTCCAGCACAGTAGGTGGCGGTAATGCACCAACCGTCGAAAAACCCCACTGAAGAAGGCGGTTGCTAGCTAGCTAGGGGACACGGGCACACAGTGTCCTTTGCCCCCGCCTGCCAAGCACTGCTTTCTGCAGTTCTGCTAACGTTACGGCGAGGGAAGTAGCTTGCTAGCTAACTAGGACACCGGTACACAGTGTCCTTCGCCCCCGCTTGCCGAGCACTTCTTTCCGCAGTTCTGTTATGGCAGTGGTCACGTAGTGGGTGTGGCATGTAGTAACTGCAGTGCAACCCTACTCAGTCAAATTGCCAGGCTTAGAAGTTCCAAGCACGTTCTATTCATTCTATTTCTATGTGTGCTACTGCTGCTGCATTGTGGGGGGTGTTGCCTAGGCAACCCAATACTAATTTGCTTGTTTCAGCGAGGAGCAACAAAGTTTCGTCATGTTGATAAGAGTCCATGTTACGGCAGAAACTGACTTAACCGCACGAATGCCCGGCGTTGCTACACAGCTATTTTCAGGTCTCTCCAGAGATGTTCGATCGGGTTCAAGTCCGGGCTCTGGCTGGGCCACTCAAGGACATTCAGAGACTTGTCCAAAAGCCATTCCTGTGTTGTCTTGGCTGTGTGCATAGGGTCGTTGTCCTGTTGGAAGGTGAACCTTCGCCCCAGTCTGAGGTCCTGAGCGCTCTGGAGCAGGTTTTCATCAAGGATCTCTCTGTATTTTGCTCCGTTCATCTTTGCCTCGATCCTGACTAGTCTCCCAGTCCCTGCCACTGAAAGCATGATGCTGCCACCACCATTCTTCACCGTAGGGATGGTGCCAGGTTTCCTCCAGACGTGACGCTTGGCATTCAGGCCAAAGAGTTCAATCTTGGTTTCATCAGACCAGAGAATCTTGTTTCTCATGGTCTGAGAGTCTTTAGGTGCCTTTTGGCAAACTCCAAGCGGGCTGTCATGTGCCTTTTGCTGAGGAGTGGCTTCCGTCTGGCCACTCTAACATAAAGGCCTGATTGGTGGAGTGCTGCAGAGATAGTTGTCCTTCTGGAAGGTTCCCCCATCTCCAAAGAGGAACTCTAGAGCTTTGTCAGAGTGACCATCGGGTTCTTGGTCACCTCCCTGACCAAGGCCCTTCTGCCCCGATTGCTCTAGGAAGAGTCTTGGTGGTTCCAAACTTCTTCCAATTAAGAATGATGGAGGCCACTGTGTTGTTGGGGACTTTCAATGCTGCAGATCTGTGCCTCGACACAATCCTGTCTTTGAGCTCTACGGACACTTGATTCGACCTCACGGCTTGGTTTTTGCTCTGACATGCACTGCCAACTGTGGGACCTTATATAAACAGGTGTGTGCCTTTCCAAATCATGTCCAATCAATTGAATTTACCACAGGTGGACTCCAATCAAGTTGTAGAAACATCAAGGATGATTTTACATTTTACATTTTAGTCATTTAGCAGACGCTCTTATCCAGAGCGACTTACAGGAGCAATTAGGGTTAAGTGCCTTGCTCAACACCTAGTCGGCTCTGGGATTAGAACCAGCGACCTTTCGGTTACTGGCACAACGCTCTTAACCACTAAGCTACCTGCCGCCCCTGGAAACAGGATGCACCTGAGCTCAATTTCGAGTCATCGCAAAGGGTCTGAATACTTAGGTAAATAAGGTATTTCTGTTTTTTATTTTTTATAAATTGGCAAACATTTCTAAAAACCTGTTTTCGCTTTGTCATTATGGGGTATTGTGTGTAGATTACTGATTTTTAAAATGTTATTTAATCAATTTTAGAATAAGGCTGTAACGTAACAAAATGTGGAAAAAGTCAAGGGGTCTGAATACTTTCCGAAGGCACTTTATTTTGATTCAAATCCAAAATGAATCTACACTTACATGTAAATGGTTATATTATTATAAGCTACTGTACATTTGCAATGCGTTTCATAGCAGAGCTAGCTAAACCTGTTTACAGTACAGGAAGGAGGATCCATGGATAAAGGGCATGGTAATGCTAATTGTGAACCCTGACCTCAACATGAGGAGGAAACCAGGGATGTGTACAGTACAAAGCCCCTGCTGTTCATTATGTTGATGTCTTCAACGAAGGAAACATATATGACTCATATTAAATGGAATTTAATGTGCTGCATTGTAGAGTGCTGTATGGAGATATGGTCACAATTAATTAATGATGTGTTTGTCTGTGTGTGTGTGTGTGTGTGTGTGTGTGACTTACCGTGGTCTCGTCTTCATGCAGCACCTGGTCGTACCCACTCAGTGCCACACAGAAGATAATAGCTGTCACGTCCTCAAAGCAGTGGATCCATTTCTTCCTCTCCGACCTCTGTCCTCCCACATCAAACAGCCTACGGAACACACACCATCCGTTACACACGCACAGAAAAACAAAAAGCATCCAAAGCCTCTCACAACCCCTCAGAGGATCACATACTGAAGTATATAGTATACTTTGTCAGTACAATATCTACTTCATAATAGTCTGTCTAACATAGCAGAAACACATTGGTACGGCATAGCTCTATTGATTTAGAAATTGCTCCCAATAACAGTTTCTGAGTATCATAGCTACTGTAACAATACCAGAGGTTAGGCGCAAGCACAGATTTTGAACCCCTCCCTACATCTGAAGAAACTTGGGGTTTCAAAGGGTTTGCAGCAACAGAAGGCTGTAAAGGTCTCCTACTACTACTGTAGATACTGAGATACAAATAATGACATCATACACGTAACGTTAGCTAGCGAGCCAGCCAGCTAACGTTAGCTAGTTAAACAATTAACCAGAGTGCCAACTCATGTCGTTACTACCCTGCATGAATCTGCTGGTAGCTAACCAACCAGGTTCAATGTTAGCTAGCTAACATTAGGCTCTAACTAGCCAAGCAAAAGGCTCTGAGATACGAATAATAACATCATACACGTAACGTTAGCTAGCGAGCCAGCCAGCTAACGTTAGCTAGCTAGCTAACAGTACACTTTAACTTGAAATGAAACCACTTATTGTCCAACTTAGAAACGTGTAATATCTGAAAATGTAGCTAGCTAGACTATCTTACCCGTATACATCATGCATGATGGACGCATCTCCCTGTCACGGATGCCATGGTTGCCCTTAGTTTGAAGATGTAATACGGAGACAGTCGTTTCCTCCATCTCTTTAGCTATCATTCTCTAATTCCACTGATTTAAAAAAATCAGAAAGTGGAGAGCAACACTTATGCAGCTCCACTACACATTTAAAAAAAAAGCTGCGTTACACAGGATTACCTACACATACTGACCAGCTGAAATAGACAGAAGCCTTCTATATGGCAGACCAATACGAAATCCTCTCATGGCATGTCCAGCCCACTCATTATCTCATCCAATCATGGCTTGTGGGAAGGTTGCTGTCTTTTTCTGTCTTAACCAACTAGGCTCGTAATTTAATGACTTTAAGGCTATTCCATGCGAGAAATTGCCAAGAAACTGACGATCTCATACAACGCTGTGTACTACTCCCTTCACAGAACAGCGCAAACTGGCTCTAACCAGAATAGAAAGAGGAGTGGGAGGCCCCGGTGCACAACTGAGCAAGAGGACAAATACATTAGAGTGTCTATTTTGAGAAACAGACGCCTCACAGGTCCTCAACTGTCAGCTTCATTAAATAGTACCCGCAAAACACCAGTCTCAACGTCAACAGTGAAGAGGTGACTCCGGGATGCTGACCTTCTAGGCAGAGTTGCAAATAAAAACCATATCTCAGACTGGCCAATGAAAAGAAAATATTAAGATTGGCAGTCTGAGATATGGCTTATTTGTCAACTTGCTCAGGCACTGGGGCCTCCCACTCCTCTTTCTATTCTGGTTAGAGCCAGTTTGCGCTGTTCTGTGAAGGGAGTAGTACACAGCGTTGTACGAGATCTTCAGTTTCTTGGCAATTTCTCGCATGGAATAGCCTTCATTTCTCAGAACAAGAATAGACTGATGAGTTTCAGAATAAAGTTACTTGTTTCTGGCCATGTTGATTCTGTAATCGAACCCACAACTGCTGATGCTCCAGATACTCAACTAGTCTCAAGAAGGCCAGTTTTATTGCTTCTTTAATCAGCACAACAGTTTTCAGCTGTGCCAACATAATTGAAAAGGGGTTTTCTAATGATCAATTAGCCTTTTAAAATGATAAACTTGGATTAGCAAACACAACGTGCAATTGGAACACAGGACTGATGGTTGCTGATAATGGGCCTCTGTACGCCTATGTAGATATTCAATTAAAAATCTGCCGTTTCCAGCTACAAAAGTCATTTACAACATGAACAATGTCTACACTGTATTTCTGATCAATTTGATGTCATTTCAATAGACAAAAACAAATATTTTATTTCGAAAACAAGGACATTTCTAAGTGACCCCAAACTTTTGAACGGTAGTGTTTATTTTTGCTAAGAAAACTTGGGGTGCCAAATAAAACCACCCGCCAGTTGGGGAACCCTGCAGTAGAAGGATATTTGAGGAGGAAGAGGAGCACTGAGCTAGTGTTTTACCTGAAGTGCAGGTTCTTGAAGACGAAGTGAGTTTCTACGATGCCAGTGGTTTTGACTCGGGTTCTGAGGATGTCCTGCTCTGTGGGCTGGTAGTCAGGAGCACCAATCCGGTCTAAACTGTCTAGGTAGCTGGGGAGAGAGACAGAAAGGCCAGTTAGGATCAATGCATTGGACTCTGTTTTGAACCCTAAGATCTGTGGACTGAGACAGGGGGTCTGAACTCTGTTCTTCTGGGGCTGTGAGTGCACTCTGGTTTTCATTGCACCACAGAACTTAATTAATTGACTTCAATCATTGATTGGAGATGGAGTAGTCTGGCCTGCTCCCCTGAGCCTGGAAGAGGGACTGACAAAAAGCTTATAGCCTAATGACAACCTGGCATTGGAATCTGAAGGGCTGGAGCAGTGCACTCCAGTTACGAGGGCCATCATGGGCATTTTGGACAGGAAATGTCGAAGACTATGCTACATTTGAGCTATGGGCCCACATCAGCTAGAGCAGCTGGGATTGCTTAGGACTGGCTGCAAACCTACTGCTCCACACGCAGGAAAGGTGACAATCAAGAGGGGGAAAATAGACAATGATGACATCCATCTTGCTAGGGGTCAACAAAACATCACAGTGAGTGCCTCATGCTGTTTTTCACACAAACACACGCACACACACGGAGACACATACAAACATATTCTATTTTCATTTACTAATCACATAGGGCTACTAACAAAACATAATTCACAGAGTGCCTCACACTGTTTCTCTCTCTCTCTCTCTCTCTCACACACAAAACACAGAGGGATACACATAATCAAATAGAAACATTTTCTCTCCCGCCATCTGTGTTTATGTGTAATGGTGTCATTCACTGATCTGCATCCAGTTGAGAGCCATGGGGCTTTGCTCGGCAGCTGCAGTATTCAGCAGCAGTGTGTGAACATTCCAACCTGGCCACAGCCTGCTGACACAACCCACTGAGGGGGGCATTTACACTGCATAACGCAACCATACACTGCATGGAACCGCAGTACAGTATGTTGCTGAATGCTTTTGAATGTATGTACACATTAAATTAGTGATCAATGATTAACAAGCCGATGTCCAGCGGTAAATGTGCTGCATCAATTGCCGAGCTCTCAGTTTGGGTGGCAGAGTACCCAGCACTAACGCAGCTCATTAACAGTAGTGCCTAAAGACCTGGGCGGTGTCCACACTGCCTGCCTGTCTGTTCATGATATAGGGAGGGGGGCAGAGATAATGATGCAGTGAGAGAAAAATAGGAAGAGGCCCAGGTCAGGGAGATAGAGGAAGAGCAGTGGGGAGACCTGTGATGTAACTGCTGGAACTAGAATGAGATGTGACATCTGTACAAAGTGTGTCCATAACTCACACTGACATGGCCATTTGAACCCAGATGAAACCACTCCAGAGAGTGGATTCAACCTGCCCTGCCATTACAGGCCAGCCCATCTGCTCAGAGAGATGTAGTAAACCTCACTGTCTCCAGGGGGCGACAATAAGACAACTGGGGTTACAGTCATTACTGTCTATGAATGTTTGATTCTGGCCACATCATCCACATAGGGCTGGGCGATATGGCCAAAATATAATATCACGGTAATTTTAACAAATTGGACGGTATGATGGTATTTGATGGTATTTTATGTTTTTTAATAATAAAAGTTCTACATTTGCTTTATGACTACCGCGTGACCCTAGGGCGGCAACACATACATTCTAAGTGATTTCAATGGGTCTTTGTCCATTCGGATTGTTATATACTGTTCAATTCAACCCCCCAAAAATGTAAGCATTTTCAATTTCTGCATTTCCTGCACTCATTTGAGATCATTTCCACTCTGCCACGTAGGGCTGCACAATATCGGCAAACTAGGCTAAACTTATTTTTAACCAAATGTTGCAATTGCGATTTGACTTGTGATTTAGAGCAAAACACTTGGGTGAACTGTTGGAATCATGGAAATATAATGATTATTCAAATTCTATAGTCAGAATATAATAGTGAGCACTTTGAATACAGTGTTGTTTGACATGACAACAAATGAAAATGCCAGGGAGGAGTTATTGTGACAGGGTAGGAACCAAAGTGTTGATAAGTGTTTGCTAGGGGACCCTATAATCTTTGGCTACGTTGACTGTTTACTCTTAGCTACTTAATGTAGCTAACATATTCATGCATTGTGCATTCCTATTTCATTTAGAAGATACTGTTGCACAAACAACATGCTGATTTAGGTCTACACCATCACTGGTATTATCAGGCTGTATAGGTAATTACGTTTGCTCTGACTCAGTGCATTTATTAGCTAGCTAGCAAATAGCATTAGCATTAGAGGCTAACAATTAGCAGCTAACAGGATTTAGGTCCAACTTGCTAAGAAAATTCAAACTAGCATCCTTGTCATCAACATTGTTGCATGTGCTGCATTGACCATGCAGACTGAACTCAAGTGTCTTGTGGTCCAGGAACAACAAATATGCTCCTTGAGTGACAAGGGGTGTGGCTAGGTCTGTGTGGAAAGCGGCATGGAGAGAGGGAGCGGAGAGAGATGACTCAAGTAGTGAAGTAAACTATAAAAATGGATGTTACATACGCCGTATCACATTTAACAAACCAAACATTCAGATACTGTTATAGAAGGTAAACCCAAACCGGTCCGTGCGTCAATACCGGTATATCGTAAAATATGGTATACCGCCCAGCCCTACATCCACATCATATTCACACAGCAATATTACTTACACAATATATGAACCAGCCCAAACAAAAAGCTAATTTCCCCTCTGGAAGTTCAACTTGTAACCTAAAATATCATAAACATTATGATGAGAATATAGGTTACAGCTTCCAGCGCCTCCTTGAATTTACTGTTTCAATATTCTAAGGTAGCACACTCTCCTCTCCAACGCTCTCCTTTCTGTCCATCACTGATATGTTCTATCCTTTTCTGTTTTTCTCTCCCTGTTGACCATTCCTCTTATCTGTGTTTGCCTTGCCTTTCTCCCCCATTGTGATATATTGTTTAACATCAAATAGGAGCTGCCAATGCAAATTTCAGCCGGCTATTAGAGGGAGATTTCCATAAAGGACTGTGAGTGGTCTGTTGCACAGTCTAGTCTCATACAGTGTCATAGTCTCAGTACCAGCTACAGCAAGCGCTTTATGAAATTAAGTGTGCATCTCTGTTTACTTTGGAACAGAAAGAGCACAGTCCAATGAAGAGTAAGCAGCAGAAAGTGTGTTTCCTCCTCTTTCTATCCAACTGGATATCAGTGTGCTCTTCAATGAAATAACATCTCTCCCTTATCTTCCAGCCAAACCTCCCTTGAAATATCTACTGGAGTTCATGAAACCAACATCCATATTTTCCACCAGTGACTAATATGATGAATAAAATTCCAAGGGAAGTCTTGGGGATTTGAGGTCTGGTATCTTATGTAGTATGTCACGAAAATGTAGTAGCTCTGTGGCTCTGCAACCCAGTGGTGCTCTATAGAAATGAGGTTCTATGCTGTTAGGATTAGGCTG